ATTCTTTCTTATTAATTAGCCTCGCCGCTACATAGTGCAGGGGTAAAAACTATCTCTGAGTTTGGTAGGCTGGGCCTGAATGCTTCTGTACCAGATGGTAGAGGGTCAAACAATCTGTAGCTGGGGTGTGTGGGGTCTTTGATGATGCTAAGAACTTTCCTCAAGCACCGTCTGTCATAAATGTCCTGGATGCATGGGAGAGCAACCCCAGTGATGAACTGGACAGTTTTCACCACCCACTGTAGGGCTTTGAGGTCAGCAATACTGCAGTGGCCATACTACACTGTGATGCAACCTGTCAGTGTGCTTTCTGTAAAGTCAGTGCATCTGTAAAAGTTAGTGAGGATCTGGGGAGATATCTTAGCCTTCTTTGACCATCTTAGGAAGTCCAGGTGCTGTTCTGTACAGGTGCAGTCTTAATCAGACAAGTGGCATTGAGAGACCATGTGAGGTCCTCGGTGATATGGACGCCAAGGAATTTGATGTTACTGACCCTTTCCACATCAGTCCCGTTGATGTGGATAGGGGCATAATTATTTTGCAGTTTTCTAAAATCAACAATCAGCTCCTTGGTTTTGCAGATGTTGAGGGTGAGGTTGTTGTCTTCACACCACATTGTAAGGAGATCGACCTCCTCCCTGTAGGCCCTCCCATAATTGTCTGTGATAGACCTACTGTACAACTGCGATGTCATCGGCAAACTTGATGTTGAAGTTGGTGTTAAGTCTGGAATTACAGTCTTGGGTGGAGAGGGAGTAAAGCATTGGACTTACCTATTTATTTTTATATAACAATTTAAGATAGAAGATAAGATCACAAAGCTTCATTTTAAAGTTAATACAGAATATTATGTATAATCCATCCATCCATTTTCTAACCACTTTATCCATTACAAGGTCATGAGGGGGCCAGAGTCTATTCTAGCAACCAATGGCCAAAAAGATTTATATATGTACAGTATAAACCATAAAAAATAAATGTCAACACAGAATTTATACAGTAAATACTTTACCATACCTGTACATAGAATTGATAAAAATACAAGATGAACACTGTAATATTTTGCAGAAATAGAATATTGTTGCAGAAATTTAGATATTTTTTGTTGACTGTATAAATATCTTTGCTTCCCACACTGCTTACTTTTAGCTGCCGGTTGTCTGTGGGCTTAATTAATAATCTGCAAAGGTCAAGGATGCTATCCTTGCTTTTCCTGGAAGGACAGTGTGCTTTTTCAATAACAAGAGACCTGCCAGCTGAAAGCAGTTTATTGTATAAACAAAATCTACTGTGTTGTATGAGGTCTCAAAAATAATGACATTCTGCCTTTCTGGATATAAATATGATAAGATATTTTTCCATATAAAACTGCAAATATGTTTATATATTATGCAGTACATGAGGTATATTCTTAGCAAGCATATTATCTTTATTTACACACCTTTTAACATATTTCTTCTTAGTTAGAAAATAAAAGTATGTTAATCTTTTCAATTACTGATATGTCAATGGATTATATATAATGGAACCTCCCATATAATGGAACCATTAATCTCCTTAAATTATCTCCAATAGCATAGTTATATTTATACCAATCTCAGAACACCTACAGTTAGGAGGCAATTCTGCACCTGAACCTAACTGAATGGAGTTTGTATGTTCTTCCCATGTTTGCATGGGTTTTTGTTAGGTACTCCAGTTCTCTCCACCAGTCCAAAGACATACTGGTAGGTATTGTATCCTGCCTTGCCCCTATTACTTGCTGGAATAAGCTCCAACTCCTCTGCCACCTTGTATTAAATAAAGTAGTTCAGACATGGATGGATGGTGGTGTGCCTTTCCTCTCGGGAGCACTACGGAATTGACTAGTTCTACTTCAGCAGCCAGTCATGCCTTTGCCACCTTCCAATCATGCTGGCTGCCATGGAAACCCAATTAGACAGGAAGTTTGCTGATGACATCATTCCCTGCCTCCTGATGAAACAAACTATTTTAGATCTGACCAAGCAGTGCTTGGGACCATTGCAGAGTCCCGAGCCACTGCTGTGTTCCTTAGCTTCGTTTATGTTTTGAGCTGGACTCTCAATCCTGGTTCAGAGCTTGGCTTCAGTGTTTTTATTTCCATCTACGATTCTGGACTACGCTCTGCCTCTTTGCTAGTTCTACACAACTCACCATCTTACCCGTGCTGTCTCTCTGACTCTGCATACAGCCTTGGAACACCTGGACACTAAGAACTCATATGTGAAAATGCTGTTTGTGGACTACAGTTCAGCATTCAATTCCATCATACCCAGTCAACTGGTGACAAAGCTCAGGGGATTAGGTCTGTGCAACTCTGTCTGCAACTGGCTGCTGGACTTTTTTATTGAGAGACCACAGGTGGTGGGGATAGGCAATAAAACATCAACACCACTCACCCTGAGCACTGGAACCCCACAAGGCAGCTGTCTGAGTCCAAGGTTGTACTCCCTGTTCACTCACGACTGCACAGCAAGACACAGCAACAACCGCATCATGACACCACTATAATAGGACTGATCAGTGATGATGACGAGTCCACTTACAGGGATGAAGTCTAACAGCTGCTTAGGTGGTGTCATACAGATGCAGCCATTCAAAGGTACAGACACGTACCGGAGGTAATTGGCTACGGCATCACGCATCGTGACGCGCGATACCGCAAAATACAGCGGTACGTGATTGGTTGACCAACAGGGGCACTCGTGGTCTGTTGGTCGGTCGTAGACCAACCAGATAGATAGAAAGATTTACAGTAAATGTATTTACTGTGCCCGTTTTAGCATTGAATATTCATATGGAATTTTACCACTGAAGGGAAATCTTAGTACCTGAGCATAAAAAGAATAATAAAGACTTCGATGCTTAAAATGTTTAGGGAGAAATGGAATACCGGTGTGTATTTTTTCTTTAAAGTACCGATTCCTGGAATCTGACTGGCTGACACCCTTCTGAAGTGGTTCCATAATATCTGGTATACGGAAAAGAAAGCGTTGATAAAAAAGCCTGGATTATCATGTATCTGATACAAGTATCTTTTAATA